CATCACTGATGTGGTCAAGTTTTGGTAAAGGTGGCACAGAATTTGTGTCCACATACAGTATTTTTAAACAGCACTGCTGGTGTTGCTCTTCTTTCAGGCAAATACTTTTAGATGTCTGCTTCCCCTTATTTTAATGACCAATTGTTGTGACACAAATCACATGCCTTAGCCCCCTCCTTCTCTTGCATGATCATTCACATGCGGCTAATTTTAGCTAATGCCATCTACTTGTCTTGTTATGCACTCCTGTTTGTCATTGAACCATAGCTCAAGATAAAAATTAATTTCTCCACGGTCTTTTAGGTATTGGCACTGACAAATAAGCAAGGAAAACTGCAAAACACACATCTCAGCTGCTGTAGGGGGAGGGCCACTTTCACTTTTCTCTTATCCTCTTGACATAAAACCAGTGATGACTTCAGTGAAAGGCACACTTTGGGAAGCCTCTCAACAGGCACTCTAGGTCACCTAATGTTGCTCTGTGACACGCCATTGTCGTCGCTGTACAGGAGGACAGTGATGCCTTTTCAGTGTGGCAGGCAGAGGCAGAGAGGGATGGCGTGTAGCTCAGTACAGGTAGGTAATTGGTGACAGTGTCTACAGCAGTGGTGCAGCAGGGGGAAAAGCAATGACAAATAGGAGTGCTCATAAGCCCAGTGCAATATCGTGTGTGTGTCTGTGTGTGTGTGTGTGTGTGTGTGTGTGTGTGTGGTCTCCAGACCCAAACAAACATGTGGTTTTAAGAAATACAGTGCTGTAATACAACAACAATACCTTACATAGCCTGATGTAATTTACTGGCGTTTTCCTCCCATATCAAATATTCATATTCCTACTTGGTGCAAATATTCTGGTTTTGCTCCAATTAAGTATTGAATCTTACCAGATGGCTATTGGTGTATTGGGTTGTTATGAAGTTATTCATAAAAAATTAAATTCTATATGTAGATGTGGAGCAGGTTATGAAAGAAGCAGCACAGGCATATATTTTAGAGGCAGTTTGTGGGAGATGTTTTACAGTAAACACTGCTTTTGGAATTTAAACCCTAGGTTGTTAAGTTCTAATACTGTTTTGTTTTTGCTTGGGCATTGTGTGGCAAAAAAGATCTCCTGAGGATGTATGATGTACACTGTAAATATGCAGTGGCATTTCCTAAATACCCTAGATTTAACAGAAAATCTTCAGTTTATATCCAGTAAATGTAGATGTCACACAAGCATACATGTCAAGATCAATAAATTTCTCTGTAAATTTTGCCTCCAGTGGATTGGCTCACAGCTTGGTGAGCTTTTCCCCTCTCAGTAACCCTTTATTAAATGACAAGATAAAAAAAGAATTTTAGAAAGCTGTTGTGACTGACTAGGACTTACATGTCTATAGCTGGCTACAGTGTTGATGGTTAGTTTGTCACAGTAGTTAAGTGCCGTAGGGATGACGTTTTTTTTGTAATCCAACCCGGAGGATGGCAACACCCTCAATCATCATAAATCGGCATCGGTTTTATGATTTTTGAAGCCTAAATGCAATTGCCAGAAGTAAAAAGCCAAACATTTTTTACCAGCCAAAATAATAAATTGCCTTTTTGTGTCACATACTCATTGCTTCAGTATTTCATTCAGGTAATTATGTACTATGTTGAAAACAAATAAAGGGGCCAGAGCTAAACTTGAAGTAAACTTATTTTCATAGGTTATATCAATCAGCAGGTAATAAATTCATTATATTCACTTTTGAATAAAAATTTTAAAGCCACAGTAGAACTTATGAAGTCTTGTTTTCAAAATTCTGCTTAACATGATATTTACTAATAAGGTTAGCCTACTTCAGGAACAAACAAAAGTAAATTTTAAGTTTTATAAACCTATTGGATGTTTAATCATTTGAACCAGCTTAAAGCTCCTCCTGAGGGTCTGTGTACTTGGCGTCCATTGGATTTTCATTTTGAAATGAGAAAACTGAAGGCAGAGCCTAGCTACGCACACACAGGGTGCAGGGCAGAGGACACAGCAGAACAGACGGATGTTGAATGCACATAGGCTGATTTCATTCCCGAGTTCCATTTATAAACGTATCAAACAAAGCCAGAGAATGGCCGATCGTTTTGTTTTCTGTGGTTTACTATCAAAATGAACAACGACCTGTTTTCCGTTTTGTTTCCCTCTATATGTAAACGGAAACTGTGGAAACTGTTTGTTTTCTGATGTTGGTTTTCTCATTTCAAAACAAATCCAGTGACCATAAAATACGATGACCCCTGAGATGTTCTCTACCGCGATCACCTGCTTTGCACAGTCCATGAAATCTGGTCTCCTGACTAAACCATAGTCTGGTGCATGCCCACTCATGCACCTGTATTCCGCCACCACTCTGCCTCTTAATGGTCATGGTCAGGTGACTGGTTAGTCAGACCTGGACAATATGTAAATGTCACTCCTTCTCTACACCAAAAGTATTTGAGACACGTGTGTAACTGATAGGCTCCTATTTTACTCACATCAGATGACCACACTGTCCATTTTTCAGCTCCACTCTCACTTTGCTTGTAACCATGACCTGAAGCTTATTTTTACAATTTGTTCAGAAAGCCAGTTAGAGGCAGAGTAGCAGAGGGTCTTCACTGAATGCGTGTGTGTGTGTTTGTCTGTCAAACTCCTTCACAGACAGAAGCAGGGCGCCCATAGTAGAGACTTTCAGGTTTTATTACAATGATTCTTTTGCTACAAACATTTGCCCGCCAGTGTGATGGGTAGTCTTCTCAGGTTTACTCACCAAATGGAAAATCTAGCCACATTTGGCACCTGGCAGGTGTTAATTTCAGGCCCTAGATGGAAAAACATTTTCCCCCCATATTTAATTTTGATCTCAATATTGACCAAAATAATCATGATTATGATTTTTGCCATTGCGCAGCCCTGTCAACAAGGCTGAAGGGTACTCCCGACGTATTCAGATGACCTCTGTCCCTTTCTGGTGTGACGGAGCCATTTTTATAGCAGCTGATTATACTGCAGGAGATAAACTTAAATTGTTGTTTATTGCAGCCGTGTGAGGCCAGTTAAGTTTCCACAGTTCTCTGCATGTTACATGCATGACAAGATAAATCCTCAAATATTTCATTTTTATACTTTTCACAATGTAGCTTCCTGCAGTCTTACATTATCACAACCACCCATTTACAGTCTGAAAGTCTTCTTCAGATTCTGTGAATGGTAAGCAATCTGAGGTACCCTCCAATCAGATTTCCCTCTCTCCACTTTCTGACAAGTGGAGGAGACATCCAGCGGCCCTCCTAATGAATTCCCACTGGCTCACTGTCTGCTCTTGGCAACATGCTCCCTGTTTCTATTAGCCCTCCACTGAGTCAGAGGAGAGAGAGTCCAGAACCAGGAGGGATGGAGAAAAAGATAGGTATTGAATACAAGATCTCAGAAAAAAGCAGAGGCAGTGAGATTGTCAAAAAAGAGAGTGTGTGCTGCGAGACAAAGCAGCTGCTTAACGCCAGGCTAATGGTCATCTCCTCCTTCCCCCCTGGCCATCCCCACAAGACCTGAGCTGCTGCTCCCCAAGAGATATGCAGCTCTGACTGTTTGTTTCCAGAATCTCAACATTCGCACACCCCTTCTTTCTCACTAGCTCATTTTCTCCCACAACCTTTCCACACGGATGTGGATGTTTTCTTTCATCACTTTCCCCCTTTTCTTGCTACCTCTTCCAGTGTAAATGAGGCTTGCATGGAAGGAAAAGAGGGCTCCGGATGTCCATCACCAACTGAGACAACCTTGCAGCTGACCTGAGGGCTTTGCTTCCCTGTCATGTACCTCTATTTCATCTCTGTCCTTATGAGGACTGTTTCTCGATTTCTTAGTCCGTCATCCATGAGAACTTAATACCCGGCTTCAACTCTCACCCTAATCTACTATATAGAATCATAAAACATCATCTTTAAGGGCTCTGTTACATGTCCACAGTCTGAGTGGATAAATAGGTTTTCACAAAAATAGACTGACTAAAACACACACTCTGTTGAGCAAGTTGTTGCCTTTCCACCCTATTGTTACCAAAGTTCCTTTTCCTGCAGTGGCTTGTTTCTAATTAGACCGAGACAGCCGGCTCATGTGAAGCATGCACACGTACATGCACGCTTTGCCAGGTGGCCAGTTTGCCCACAAGACTCGCCCTTGAGAGTTGAGCTCATGGGAAGCCAACCAACTGTGTGCAGCTCAGGTCAGAAAAGATTTCATAGTGTTTTGGATGCATGTGCAGGTTGCAGTGTGACATTTCAGCCTTATTTGCCTCTCTTGCATCATTTTGTTAACCTTTTGACATTTTCAGAATCAGAATTGGCTTTCATCGCCAAGTATGTTGAGCATACAAGGAATTTGTCTCCAGTGCTTTAATGCAACAGACAATAGAATAGTGCAATCAAAGGTAGGGGAAGTGTGGGAGGAGGAGGAGGAGTGGCAGTATTCATAAAAAGTTTTATACACACACACACATTTTGAGCTATCAGTGCTATTTACAATTATTACACTGCAGTAGTTGCCGAGTCATAGATAATGATTATATTTAACTATGTTTACAGTTTCAGAATTGCAGTCATTAGTCCAGTGACTTGCATTATTCTACTTATCTAGTTGGTTATTTTTCTGAATATTGTACAAATATTTAACAAAAAATGATGAATTACTTTCTTGTGGAGTTAGATGAGCTCACCTCCGCCAACTGGAAGATGGTAAACTTGGCTTAGCATAATGATTAGAAGCAGCTAGCCTACCTGTTGCTAAAGGTAGCAAACCCTGTCTACCAGCACCAATGAAACTCACTGATTAACATGTTGTATCTCATTTGTTTAGTCTTTACAAAAATGAAAGTTGTGGACAGTTTCTTGGCTGCTGGGGCTTCTGTCTTCCTGTCAACTCTGCCTGGCCACATATTTTTTTATACAACAGTGATTTTGCAGTCATTTAACCTGTATTCCCCAATGTCTTGTTTCATTCAGGTAAACAGGACTACAAAAAGACTAAATCTGTCTTAAAGGCTACACGTCTGAAGGCTGAGGCAAAGAAGACTTCCTCTGGATTCAGGGTGAGACTGGCCTCCATGGACTTTCTATCTCTTTGGGCTTGCTGAAGTCTGTATCTGTTTGACCGCTTCTGGCTGTCTGTCTGTCCCTCTGTGATTCAGTTTGCCAATCATCTCTGTTCCTTTTGTCTGCCTGCCTGCCTATTTCAGAGTGTCCCACTGGAATCGCGTCTCATATCCCAGACTGTTGGCTTTCTTACAACTTATGTTAGGGAATGTAACAATATAGATCTACCTGAAATGAGGAGATATGGCCCCTATCCTTTCAAAAACCCATTCAAGGGAAAACAATGAATTGGACATTAAATTAACAGAGTACTCCAAAAAGTTTATATTACTATATCATATCTGCAAAAATGAAGATGACATAACACACTTTTTTAACATCTAGTGAGTTCCAAGAAGGATTCAAATTCATTGGTTTCCTTATTTTATTGATAAAGGAACAGTGGAGAGGGACAAGGAGAGACCGAAGGCCTTTTCAGACTTGCACTGGATCACTGAAATTATCTAGACACTATCTGAAGGAGCAATATGTGAGAATGCAAAAGTCTGAGTCAGCTGACCCAGATTTTAAATGGGCTTTACCTTGCCAGCTCTGTAGTAAAAAGTCCATATAATATCTGAGTGAGCCTGAGTGATATCATGAAAGAAAACAGCTGCTTATAGTCTGGGGTTTTAGGGCTGAGTATTGGCAAGAATCTGGTGATATGATACGTATTGTGATTCCGGGGTTGGGAGTCGATACATGGTGATACTGTAAACAAAGTAATACATTGTGATTTTTCTTTTTTTTTAAATCTTAGTTTAGAAAGACTGTCAAAATAAGCAACACACCACCATATGCATAAAACCATCTGGATCTGCATTTGTCACAGTCCCTGTAACATCCAACAACATAGCACTACTTGGCATGTGAACGGTTAATAAAAAATCAATACCGTGCTTTTGAGAATTGATACAGTATCGCAATACTCAAGTGTATTGATGTTCTCTTACACCCCTATGGAGCATTCACACAGAGGTAGGGGGCGTGCTGATGATGCTCTGTCATGTGACTGGCACAAAACCAGAAAAAAGAAACAAACTTCCAGTGGTGAAGAAAAACAGTCATTTTTAATGATGATGCCAACGAAAATATTCAAATGTAGACACGAGGAGATTCGGGGACTTCGGTTTTTAATAGCCGGTGCTGAAATCATCACACAAATTTAAAGAATGGCAGGAGACTTTTTTTTTTATGACCAAATTACAAACTGGCTACGTGACTGCATCGTGCCCTGTTTCTGGGTAGAGTGCACAGGAGGCGGAGGCCCCCCTGCATAAACCAAAAGGAGTGTTTCCAGTAGGTGAGAATGTGTCTGTCTCTTGTGACAAAGTCCAGACCTGATTCTACAGACATAGTCTGGAGTTCATGTGTGAAAACAGGCTGTTGAGAGAGAAGTATGAAATATGACAAACAGAGAAGAAAGAGAAGAAGAGTGACAAGATGGATGGAGATGGGTAATGTCAAAATAAAGGGAGGTGAGGGTGTTGCTAGCTTCGGAAACTGTGTGTCTCCACTTTGTCACACAGCAGCGATTAGGAGCTGTTCCACAGGCAAAGATGGATGACTCTGCGTTTATCATTCTGGCAAACACGCCGCCACTGTTTATGCTGTTCCTCTGTGTTGGCTTACCAATAACCAGTCTTATTATTTCAGGGTTTCCCTATACAGAGTTGACTCCTGAACCCAGCATCGTCTTAGGTTTTTAAACCCTCTTTGAAATTGCAAGATACCTTCAGATGAAGTCCGGTTCTCTGTGATTTTTTATTAAAAATGGTTTAATGAAAGCCAGAACTAAGAAAATATTCAGGTTTATTTTTACTCATTGTATTGAAAATAGTTTTAGTTTGGAGTATAACAGCCAAAAGGCCTCCCTTCCTCATTAGACTTCAGTTAGCATGTAGTACACTGATGAACAAATCGTGGTGAGAATTAAACTCTGGGTGAAAGGGTCTGGTTTTAAAATATGCATCTCTTAGACACGCAAGGCCTCATTAAGTACATCTTTAATGCAATTAGATTAGTCCATATCTTGAAATATAGATATTGCTCATGAATAATTTAGGTTTTTCACGCCCAAGATGAGGGGAATTTTCAGAGGCTGGATTAAAAATACCTCTGGGACGAGATATTAAACTAACTTAGACCTCTTGGCCTGGAGTTCGATTGAAATTCCACCCAAATGTAATGGATATGCGGTCACACTTGCTTTCTCATCACGTCTTTTTAGCATTTTACAAAGTTGTGATCTTTACATTGCTCTGTGATGACAGTAGAAAACCCCCTTCTCTGTCTGAACCTTTCGTTGACAGCAATGATTTGGCTGTGGTTTATAGACATGTTGTTTCATGCATACTTTTTCCTCGTCCCCCTCTCCTCCTTTTTTTTTTTTTTTTTCTTCTCCTCTCCCTGGTTGAGATGCTGGTCTCAGATGCAGCTGGCATCTCTGAAGGGCCGACAGACATGCAGGCGCAGAGAATCTGGCAGCTGCCGGAACAGGCTGTCTTGGGGCTGTCTTAGTAGCAGGGCAGTCTGGATAAGTTGGCACAGCAAAGGAGGGAGAGACTGGGAATGAGAAAATGACAGAGGGAGAACTTCTGTTCCCCCAGCAGTGATCAGCAAACGCCAAAAAAAAAAATTGACCTGAGAAGTGGAGGAAACCAGCCACCTGTTATATCTGTGCATGTTTTTGTACACATGCCGAGTCACAGTGAGTGTATGGAAGTGCTGATCTGCAGCTCCACTGAATGTTGCATGACATGGGGTCACAACAGCAGAGATGAAGTAACTGGTAGGAGGTTAGCTGCAGTCTCTCCTCAGGTTGCTCAGAGAAGAAGAAGTGCCTTCGAAGTAGCTCCAGCACTCTAGCTTGCAGCACAGCAAACAAGCCTGCTGCCTTGTCTAATTGGCACACTAGCCTTCTGTTCAGTTCTGCACTGTTTTCCCTCGGCCTTATTTAGCTGCTGAGCCTAGAAAGTTGGGGAAAATTTTCTTATGGAATTGGCAGAGGCAGATAATGACTCTGGGTGTCTCCCAGCTGTCATTTGTTAATGTATGTTGTGTGGTGAGTAGAAGAGGATTTTTAGTAGTGATTCTGCCCAGTTTCTTCTACTCAGTTTTTGGTGTAAATATAATTATACATATATATCTTTAATCATAGAGCTTCTAGTTTTATTTTAGAGGTGTGAGTGCATCGGTTGGTGAGCGTCTATATTCATTGCTAGTACATTCTTAAGTGAAGACTGTTAGTATTAATGGTGAGGAATGCTGTGCTGGAATCCTGGATCCAGACTGTAGCATCAACTCCAACCTCTCACTAAAGCAGAGTTTTGGATTGGATGCCTGTGGTGGCCATTAGATTTATGAGGCTCATTCACACTCGCAGGAGCGTTGACAACATCTGGGAATTTGCAGGTTTTTTGTCCTTTTGTGTCATTTAATTTATAGTACACTTTATGAAAGTAATCAGTGAGTTGTGATAGTGGTGATAAGCTTTTCCTGTTCATGGAGACATTTTTGTGTCCCCGCTCCAGTGATAGCCAGAGGTATGGAGGCAGTTATGTTTTTGGATTGTAGGTACATACAGTTCTTGTGAATGCAATATGTCAGGAACATTTTGAGAGAAATTCTTCACATTTGGCTCAAGGACGAACTGATTCGACCTTGGTGGTGAAAGGGCAAGGTCACTGTGACCTCACTTCTGTCCCATGCCTGCAAATTTGACTGGTTAGGTCAAAATCAATTCTTACTCATTTAGCAAGACAAAATGTACAATGTTGACTGTATTCATCATCCATGTGAGAATGTTCTGTTTCCTTGCTTGAAGTTAAAAATGTGGTGTTATTTGAAGGCTTCACCTCGGACCTTGATAGTTTATGGTACATTCATAGACAAAATTATTGATAAAAAAATTTAACACAAATTACTGATACTGAAAATAATTTGGTTAAAGCCCAGTAAAAGATGAGAAGGTATTGCTGTCAGTGATTGTTGTGTTCAAACGTGCATGATGTAAATGTAGGAAGATGCTGCTTACAAAGCAAACACAAAGTGACTAGCAACTTTTATCTAACCAGTGATGAAGTACAACCCAGTGGTTGGTTTTTTGTTTTTTTTATTACTGTGACTTATTCAAATGAGACATACTCATCAACTGAGGCCCAAATGCACCAACAGTTGTTTGTAGCTTGTGTCTATCTGCCACCCACACACAGCCACAAACACACTGAATCGCTCTTGCTTAGCACGTAGGCACATACAGAATGATGTACACACACACACACACACACACACACACACACACCAACCCCAGAAGGAGAATTTCCCAGATGAGAAGATGTCTGGGGCTTGTCGCCGGGGTGACAAGGACTCGGCTCCCAGCATGCCGAGTATACTGCAGCTGCCGCCAGTGAAGAGAGAGCCACATGATGAAGATGATGATGTGCTTGGGTCCTATCCAGGGGTCTCCATCAGAATGTGGGCAGAGAGGCTGTGTTTTTGTCTGAGTATCTGTGTGTGTGGGCGCACATAAATGTGTTTGTTAGACAAGGCAAGAGTCAACACAGTGGGCCACTCTCCTCGAAAGCAATGATCTCAATCAAGAGCAGGTGCTTTCTGCAGCTCAAGTGTTTTCACCAAAACCCCTCCAGCTTGTTTTCATAGACATGTCACTATAACCAGCTGTTCTCTTTCTCTGAAACCTGAAGCAAAGACAAAAGGGAGGGAGGGGGGGAGTTGCAATTTCATCCATCCTTTTGTTTTCAGAATTCAACAAAATGTTTTACCTACGTCAAAAGCGCAAAGTTTTCTGGCCGATATTGTCTGCAGAATTACAAATGCTTACCTTTGTCGTGTTTTTCAGAGTTGTGAGAGAACAAGAAAAAGCAGAAAACAATCAAGCCTCAGTGATTTGAAAGCAGTTCTTTTTTTTTTTCCTCAGAAGCCTAGGCAAAATAGAAAAGTAAATCAAGCTGTGGGAGCTTGGTGGTTAATATATGAAACTAAAGTGCATGAAATTTAAAAGTTTTCCAATTAAGCAAGGACTTTAAGCTGTTTGGAGGCTGCCGGGATGTAGATAAATGTGGGCTGAGGCTAATGAAGGCCAATGCTGCTGATGACTAGGCACCACAGTATGTACACAGATAGCTGTGGATGCTGTGATGCCTTTTAATTGTCAGCCCCCACCCCTGTCGTCAGAGAGGAATTAATATTAGCCCCCTCCACCACTCCTCGTTTATGCTGAGTCTTATCACTTTTATTTCTTCTCTCATTCTCTCTTGGTTTGCATTCTGTTGTTTCTTTGTGCCATTTGGCCAGTGAGTTGAATTTGCAAAAGTCTGTGTGTGCATGCTATGTATGGCAGTTACTGTCATTCATATACAGTCTAAGGGAGGGATGGTTTTTATCTTTTCTTTATCTTTTCTGTTAGTCATCTTGTTTGCTGCGTTCTTGCTGAAGAACAAAGATTATTGCCTGCACACTCCAAAAACTATATTTATTCAGGCTGAGCTGCAACATTGTGCACTATTGGGTATTGGGCCTAGTAAGGAGTTACTCAACCAATGGTTGGATGTATTTATAATGGGACTTGGTAGTTGTTTTTGTTGTTGTTGTTTTTTATGCATATAGATGTATGTTTATATTTTAATGTGGTTGGTGGGTTAAAATATTGTGTGGAAGAACTGGGGTTATTATGTTGTTGTTGTGCTGATTAGTAGGGGTGTGGTGACACACCTGACATCAGTTTGAAGGAGTCTACATGCATGTCTGAGCACAAGCTGTGAATACCTGATGAGGACCTAATGGCCAAACGTTGCTGACGTGGCAGCTCGGCCTGAATAAATATAATCTTTAGAGCATCAGATCGTTGTGCGGGCTATAATCTTTTTATTTTACTAGTATTGCACCTTGGCCTATGTGCCTGATGCAAAGAATAGTTTGGGGAGGAGCATGCGCTTTTCTAAACGTATACAGTAGGTCACTTTTGCAAAAATGTTCCTCACAACTTCATTCAGACATTCTCGTAACTATGACAGCGAGAACCACAGCACACGTGTTATTTACCATACATTTGAGATTGGACAGTGAGTTGGAGTTTGTTTTCTTAGTTTATTGCTGGTTAGGGCGTTCTCCAAAACAGTTCTGTTTTTTTAATGAGCGTTATATGAGCTTCTTAATGAAACCCACAGAGATGCATGAGAGGCATGCGCAGACACATAGACGGTCTGGTAGGCTCGTACACCCTATGTCAGTATGTCGTAATATTGTGTGTGCCTGTCAACGAGACTGTATGCAGTACAGACTTGTGCTGTGTTGAATGTGATATGTAAATGTTGCTAGGTCCGACCTAGTGAGATTGCTTTTATGGAAAAAGTGAGCAGGGTGCTCATTCAGACATGAAGCCGTTCAGATATCGTCATATTAATGGAGAGAAGTGCATGTCTGAAAGCAGCTTTACAGGTATGTGCAAAAATTAGAATCACATGTTATAAATAGGGGTGTAAGAAAACATCAGTACACTTGAGTATCTCAATATTCCGTTTTACAAAACTATTGATTCTCAAAAACACAGTATTGATTTTTAACTAATAGTTCATGTGCGAAGTAGTGCTACGTTGTTGGATGTTACAGGTACTATTGAAAATGCAAAAAGCAAACTTTTTTTAACAGGAGATTTTATGCATATGGTGGTCTGTTGCTTATTTTATGACCGCTTTTCTAAAATCCCATTTAAAAAATGCAAACCATGGCCTCGTTTACAGTACCACAGTGTATCGAATCGTGATGCATATCACCAGATTCTTGCCAGTACACAGCCCTAGTTATAAATGAGTTTGTGTAGGGTTGCAATTGTGTTTTAACTTCATTTGTCATGTCACCTTTGTTGTTGTGGCACAGTTTGCATGTTAAAACAAATTTCCATGTTCAAATCAGATATTTTCTTTGTGAATAACCTCCAATTAGGCTGTACTCTGCACTCTTTTAAGGCCCTCCAAGCTCTCCACTGTTGATTAGAAAGTTTGCTGCTAATGAGTTCTGTTGATAAAGAATAACTGCCATTGTTCAATACTCTGAGTGGCCCTAATGAAACTCCAGTTGATGAAGATTGTAATCGTGTGAGCGCCACATAATGAACGAGTGCTCCAGATTCCCATTTTCAAGTTGAATGCCACTCCTCTGGAAAGGCTCAGTTTGTCTGACAATTAACCAATAGAAAATCCAAAAAATAGGCCATTTTGTTGGAGAAAGTTTAACTTCTTGGTTTAAAAAAAAAAGGTAGGAGCGCTGTACAGAATGATTGCAGCTAGAGGAGAGTATGGTGTGGTCACTTACACACTTTTCTGGAGTGTGATATTGTATGTTTTGAAAGGTCCTTTTTCTTGCATGTGATGTGCTGTCATGCTTTTAAGTGATACAAACAAAGTAAGAGTATCCAATTTTTTTTTATTGCGTTTGGCACAAAGTAGTTTTGAATCTGGCCTGATAAACTGGACATTAGCCCTGCCACAGTGTGCCCCATTAGGGGGTTACTCAACTTCATCAAATTCTTTTTTTCTTTTTCCACTGACTTTGTGTGAATACATACAGTATGCTATTTACACCTTATAAATTCCCTAAATTACCTGCAGTATGTTTGCAGTCTGTCACCTGACTCATTACATCAGGTAACAATTTCCCACAGTGAGTCTCTCAAAGCAGCTGAGAGTGTTTGTCATTAATGTGCAAATGGGTCCATCAGAGTGAGAACACCTACTGTGCAGACCTGGTTTACTTTCAAGGAACCCGAAACCATTTTCACACAAATGCAGGTACATTTGAAAACACATCTGTTTGTCTGTTTTGGTCTTCCATCAGCCTTTCACTAATGTTTTCCAATGCTGTAAACAAAGCTTTCAAAAAAGCATAAATGGCTTTTTAAAACGCACCAGTCTTGCATTGCTTTGTGGACAGGAAGCACTGACACATGATTATCAGCTTGTTAAACAAAACAAACATGGCTGTCCGCTCTCTGCCTGATTGCATTGTTTCCTATGTACCTGCAATAGTGTGAAAAAGACTTCATTTTGTATTAATATTTGCATCTTTCAACATTTTTCCACATCTGAAAAGAAAGCGATGATTAAGGACAAATGTTTTTAAGTTATTGTCAAAATACATCAATAGAACTAGAAATTATTTTATTTTTGCTTTTCAAAATGAGTTAATGAACAACTTCAATGTCAGACAGATTTTAAAAAAGTCTATTAGAAATGCAGATGAAAAGAAAGACGAGGGACTTGGAAAATATAAATCAACACTTGTAAATAAGCTCAATAATTACTGCAAAAACATTCATACAAATTGGAGCTGCTTCCAAGTGTAAAAACAGACAGGGAATCAGGCAGGTGTTTAAATAATGCTATTGAAGAACACTGTATCTTTGTCTTTTCCCTTCTCAGGATGCCTTCCTGGTCATTGCAGCTCTCCTGTTCTTTGTCCTCTGTGTCTATGCCTTCTTCTACCTCAATCTGAGCACTGAGATTAACCTGGATGTGGATATGGATTAATAAGAGCTGGACCACATTGATACAATTTTCTTGCACCACACTTATGCTGTTTCTGTTTGTTAGATAATTGGTTAATCCCAATTTTCGTATTTTAATGTTTCTCGGTCCTTGAGCCTTGTTTGGCCAGGAAGTCGTTCTGGTCAGCTATGATGAAGGATGTCCCAAAGCTGTTATTTCTGCTCTGAGGAGCAAGGAGGCTCCTGGAGAAACTATAACCCAAGATGCAGGAGTGCGTATTTTACAGAAATCTGGATTGACACACCCCTTTTTTTGGAAATCAGTTGGTGATTGGACGCTTGATATGAAGGATCGGAGGAAAGGACGTCTCAATTAAAACATGTTTCCTTGGCTCCTCTCTCCTCGCAATTTGTCCTTGCATCTTTTCCTTGCCTCTTAGGTGGGCGGGACTAACTGGGAATGTACACTGAAAGCAAGACATGAGCAGCGCATTCCATGCTTTTGTCTTCAAAACAGCTGTTTGTCAGCAGGACAATGGCAGGAGAAACCCGTCTTAACTAGGTGGACAGATGGCACAAATGTACTGGACAAAAATAGTTTTCGTGTAGGCCTATGTTCCTCAGGAAGTAATCCCATGGTTTGTATCCCAGGAATTTGAATTTCTTTGGCTCTACAGAGTGAAACTCAAAACAGCCTGATCATTCATATGAAATACCAGAAGAAACTGACAATAGCAGGATTTGTATGATTTTTTTAACAGCTATGTGTGGAGATTACACTTCACTAGGAAAAAAGTAGACCTGAGGCATAAAAAAACAAAACAAAACACAAGCATGCCAAGGGAGACGTGCATCTTGGACTCAGTAGGGCTTGACATGCTTGGTGTGGTTTAGGGGTAAGAGGCAAGGAAAAGACACAAGTGAGGGAAACGTGGAGGAAGGTCAGGGAGGAAAATAATTCAAACACTGTTTCTCTTTTTTTTTTTTTTTTTTTTTGCATGAGAACATATCTGTACAATGAAACTGTAATCATTATTCTAACATAAGTTGCACTATGGTTTTACATATTTGTCATCCGTGAGCTTAGATCTGTCAGCACATCTTTGATTCCTGTTCCCTAAAAAGCTTTTATAGTAGTCTTCCATTTCTACAGTTGAGACTAACCTCTGTTATTCATATCCCACATAATCACATCCCACTGTTTTCCTCCACTAATAAATGTAAATCTTCCACTGAACTTGTCATCACAGTGAGACAAACACTTGCTTCACATTTCGGTGCACAAACCTCTCCTCCCGGATATCTGGAGATCACTAAGTGTGAGATTAGAATCCAGAAAACTCTCGTCCTGACTGAACATGTGCTGAATACAGAGTGACACATTCTACCCGCCACGTTTAAGGACACACTTCTGCAGGATTAACATTTCAAATATGATCCTGTTCTTTCATTTGAAATGGAATTACAGAGCTGAGCAGTGACTAAATAGAGGTGGACCTACGTGTTTCTCATAAGGAACACCTTGATGGTATTTCTTCTTTTCAGATGTATGCATTGTTCCCTTAAGGATACAATGTCATTGTAGAAAGGAATATGAAGGTCTGTCAGTGCTTCTTTTTTCTTGCCTTACGCTTTGTGTACAAAGACTGACCTTCCACTAACAGTTTTCTGTGCTTCCACTGTTTGTGTGGGTGGTTGTCACAGACGCACACAGATCCAGGGGTTTGTATTTAGTCATTGTGCTTTCCATCACATTCTATTTCATAGTTTTTTCAGCCCATTTCAAATCTAAATAAAAGCAGTTGATACTGTTTTTGGATACATACACCTTTGTGTTCATATAACGCATATAAGGCCAATACCAAATACACTAGAAGCCTTGTGACTTTTTTAATTCCCCGGCCCCCCCCCCCCCTTGTTTTTTTTTTTTGTCTTTTGGTTAAAACTAGTCTCCCATGCCAGACTGTGTTCTGTTGCTGATATGATTGGCGAAATGTGAGACAGTTTTTGAGCTCAGTTTCTGCTATTTCTCTTCTTTTCTCCCATGACCCCCCCGACCTCTAGTAAAAGACTACATGTCAAAGAAACCATTATGATAAACATGCACCCGTACCCTCGCCCAGTGCCTTTTATCTGGCCTCGGTACATCCAGACCCCCTCCTCCACCACTGTGAGTGACTCGCATGTGTAACAATAGATAGCCCGAGCTAATAGACCTTCATACGTGACACCGGTTATCTAAAAGGTCAACCATTACCAACTACCAACAAGAGCTCAGTGGAAAGGATCTGGCAGAGCTGCTTATTCATTCAGACCCAGGTTTGGTAAGATGAGATGTGATCTATTTTTTCCCCAATAGTGCTGTGATTGAATTGATTTATGTTATACACTTTATGCTTTACTTTGTCATTATGATTCATTTGCTGGATACTGTGGGATGTATTACTACATTTATTGTGTTTCCAAATCATGTATCTTTGTATGGAAATATAAATAATGTAAAAAAAAAAATTAAAGGACCTTTTCAGTTTCAAGTAGATTAACTTGAATGAATATTCTTTGGTATGAGCCGAACTGTGTGACCAAAGACCATGTTGTATATATTTCTTGGCAGTGATGGAAGAAGTGCTCAGATCCTTTACTTAAATAAAAGTACAAATCCAATGGTGTAAAAATGTACATCATACAGTATGTTAGGATTATCATTATTGATGCATTACTCTTCACATCACATTTAATTTTGCAGGTGGAAATTTGAATTGCTGCTGGAGGTCTTGTGAATTTTCCCATTGGGGACCAATAGAATCAGATTACGCTGTATTTTGTTTTAGTAATTTGATTCTGAAAAGTAACTAGTAGCTGAAGTTATCAAATAAACATAGAGGAGTAAAAAGTACAGTTTTTGCCTCTACTATGTAGTGAAGCCTTAAGTATAAAGTAGCAGAAAATAAAAATACTCTGTATGCATACCTCACAATTCTATTTAAACACAGTACTTGAGTGAATGTCCTTAGTTACTGTCCACCTCTGTTTCTTGGTTTTCAACTTTTAAAACTGAGCCACTTTGGTGATGACTAATGCAGACAGAAAGGTGTTGACAGCATCTCTATCCAGCTCAGAAAAAGCCTGCAGGATCACATTTTTTGTCAAATCCTTGGACATACAAGATGCTATTCATGTGTTGAAGTAGTTACTGTAATTGCAAGCATTAAATAGAAGCTTGACATTAACTACAATTAATGTTGTATACATCTGTATCCCTAAAGGTTTATAATTAACTATTAAATGTAGGCATAGTCTTAAAAGTTAATGAATAAAAGATCTTATTGTCAATTTACTTTTACGGGGTAAAAACTTTCCATTATTCCTCTTGGATCCATTTATTTTTAAGCTATAAACAAAAATGTTTTGTCAGTAATGGGTTATTAAGTTGTTTTGACTATAGGCTTGTCTTTTATGGGCTACAAGTCAAGTTGGAGCCGAATCTGCATGTGCGTAGCTGTGAGGATGACGACAGGATTGCCCCGGTGAGATGCTGCAGTAAAAGGAAGATGGTCATTGTTGCTCCTTGTTCAAGATGCATACAGCAGAGTTGACAAAAGTACTCGAGTGTGACATATCGCTGCTGATTGACAGTGTTTCACTGACTTCTTTTCACAGCAAGTCAAACAGGAAACCAGTCTGGTACCAGTGTTGTATGAGTGTTTAGCCCAACCTTGGCAATGTTCACCAGGAGTTGAAGGCATTGAGCTTTACTTCCCACTTTGTGACAAATGAGCTTGATACCATGCGCCCAAGCCATACTAATTAGTCATGTGAGGTACGTCACTAAGAGTAATTACAGTATACTTAGGCCCAAACTTGGCTGTGCACCAACATGCATGTACAGTATGCAGTGGTACTTTCCCTCCTGCCTCAAGTGTGGGAAAGTAATGTTCTCACATGTGTGTGTGTGGCTGTTTATCAAGACATGAATCATAATTATTACTGGTGAACTTGACGCAGCACTCCTGGAGCATGCTGGGTTTGCCTTGCTTTTTCTTGTGACATAAACAAACATATGCATTTTGTCAAATGTTCTATCTGTACCATGACATCATGTGAACATAAATGCACACTGACCTCGGTGTACTTTTGTGTTTTTGCGTTAAGAGTTGGGGGGGGGGGGGGTGTTTGAGCATACACAGTGCTTGTGGAGCTGCTTTTCTTCAGTGTGTTGAGTCTGTGTGTGTGTGTGTGTGTGTGTGTGTATTTTCAGCATTCAGCACCGTGCCTGTGGCTATGCTCCAGTGGAGCGCCCAGTCTCTCTGACGGACCGGTGAGAAGTGAGGAGGGTCAGTCCCGCCAGGAGCTCATTTAGTCTCTATCTCTATCTCACACACACACACACTCAGTCTCTCTACAAGTCACTCTAACAGGGAGGCACATTGCTTCCCCCCTCTCTCTCTCTCACATACATACACATATGCACACAGACATACTGTGTGCTGTTCTCCCATTAGAGAGATGGAGTGAGAAGACAGGACTGATGATGCATGTCACAAAGTACTACTGCTAGTCTCACACACATCTCCTCCCTCTTTCTTTCCCTCCACCTTGCCTCGGTTTCTTCCACTCACTGATTTTACACATTGCTGCATATCTCTGACTGCCTCTGCGGTTCTGCTTAAAAATTAAAATCTGTAGAGTTCTATCATGTAAGGAACTTTGGTGCCAAAGGCTACATTGACATTTCAGGCCTTAATGCCCAGTTTTGATTGCTTTATCAGCGCTGATCTTTTTTTGTGTTGATTGTTTACATACATGTTTTAAGTGACCTACAGTACTGTATGTCTGACCCTGAACTCCAGTGAGGTCCTAAACTTCCATGCATGTGCAGATTTAACTGAAATGTGAGCCATGTCAGTAGAAAAGAATAACAGCATCATCATTTGTTGGTCAAATTGTGCAGTTTCCCTAAAAACTGCTCGGTTTAACATGGCTTGAACAGAAGCTTCGCCATAAAATGGTCACAAATTTGAAGCTTCCTCGTCTCTCCCCTGACCCCTGTCGTTGATGTAACTCCTCTGTGTTTATTTTTAAAGGTGTTTACCTTTATCTGAAGAGTCAAGATATTTAAAAATGCAAACAAACATGAATTCTGATTTGGCTGTTTACACTGGTCAAAGATGGGTTCATATGCAAGTGATCCAGACCTGATATGAAAAGTCTGATATGGTGTGTTCACACCGCCATGAAAAAATCAGGTCTGAGTTACAATGAGGGGAAAAAGCATTTTCTGTGAATCCATTGACTTCCACAGTTCTACTGTCAGGAAGAGCACAGTGTGTCTACATTGAGTGGAAAAACTTGTTATAGCAGTGAAAACTGGTTGTGAGGACAAGTTAGAGAGAATTCTTTTAGACAAATCCAACAACCTCCCCCCTCTGGGTGTGTTATCACCACATAGCTGCTGAATGTTTCTCTTCATAGAGAACAATGAACAGTGTTTCTCATTTTCGACCCTGTCGTCGGGTCACTCTTTGTCATTCCTTAGGCCGCTGTTGGTAGGTACCGACCACTGCAGACTGGGAACATCCAACAAGACTTACAGATTGAGAAATGCTCTGATCCAGTCATCAGCCATCACAATTTGGCTCTAATATACCACGCACACATACACTTTGCCACTGTAGTGAGACAGTCAGTGTTATTCACCTCACCTGTAGGTGGTCATAATGTTATGGCTGATTTATGTATATTTGAAAGCTGTAGTTCTACATGATTATATTATTCTTTGGAAATTGTCATGCAGAGAGATATCAAATGACTAAGTGATATTCAGAGTACTGCATTGGTTTTAAACAAGTCTTTGTCCTATAAATGATCTGCCTGCTTGCCTACTGCTCAACCAAAATGCAGGTATGTGCAGACTTTAATGTGAAAAACAAATAT